TTTTTCTAGAGCTTGGGTTTCAAAGTATTCCATGTAGAGGTTTGCAATGACAGGTGAGAGGGGTGATCCCATGGGTGCTCCTTCTATTTGTTTGTATTTTTGTCCGTTATAGATGAAGTATGTGTTGGATAGGCAGTGGTTGGTCAGATCTAGGATGTGCTTGGGGGGTTATATTTGTTTTGGATAGCTGTCAAGGCTTCTTTGATTGGCACTTGGGTGAAGAGGGATGTGACATCGAAGCTCGTGACCTACTTGTGAGCTTCGATGTCATATCCCTCTTCTGTGTGAGTTTTTATGGTTTTTTTATGTTTTTTTTCTACGGTTTGTAAAACTGTAGGAGCAGTAGGCATAAATAAATAAATAATACGGGAGTGCAATCTTAACAAAGCCAATGTATTGATTCATTTCTAAAACATTATTGTGTTTTATAATTAATGCTACCCCAAATCTCTCTCTCTCTCTCTCTCTCTCACACACACACACACAGCAATAATATTCAGTTGATGCTGTTCAAAGGCATAATTTGAAAACCATGTATTTAAGCATTTAGTCTCTAATTGTTGTTTTCATCTTTTATTTTTCTTTTAGCTATAAAGTTTGACATGGAATTTGAAAAGAAAATTGGCTTAAGTTTTACAGGACTATTAATAACAATTTTTGCTGTGACTGGTACCATTCTTTTTGCCCAAGGTAAGAATTTTAATAAATAAATGTACTCCATCAAGCTAAATTGGGCCTTAAGCTATGTACAACAAGACTGAATTTGATAATAGCCAGTATGTGACTGATAACAGTTTTTACATAAAAACAGGCAAATTATATAATGTAGGAATGATTCAAAATGTCATCGAGTGAATTAAAGATATTATTCCTAACCCTGATTAAATTACTACTTTTATTTCTACTATTATAACTGTCCTTTATAGATCCAACAGATCTTTTGAATACAGAACCTTGGTATATATTATTCCTGCTACATATTAAATATTTATTTATTAGAAATATTATAAAGCACAGATATCTCTGAGGTCATGAAATAATTGGTCATGGTTTCCTCTCACTCTCCTTGCTGATTTTTACTTTATTATACAAAATATAATTTTTAGTTTTCTTGTTCTTAATAAATCACCACAAATATCAAATAAAAGGAATCTTAAATGCATTGTTGTTTGTTCAGCTGATTTGCAGTCACAAACAGCCAAAATGGAGACCAGAAAGAATAGAAATCCTTCATTAAAATATAAAATAGTTTATATAGATGAAGCATTTCCACTATTAATTCTTGTCATTTAAAAATATTTGTATTAGTATTTTCATCCTGTGTTGTTAGGATAAATTCCCCTTACTATTGGATAAACATTTAACAGGAGAATGGTATTTCTCTTGTGCTGTTCTTTCCCTCAGGAGGCACTTAAATAGGTCACCTTCATAATTTTCTGCTAATTTTAGAATACAATCATCACAATTATTTCCAAGAGTGAAATTCTTATAATAAGCTATTTTACATGTTCTCTTCCAATGTTAATATTGCTTTCTAGCTAAGAACTAATAATTAGTGACATATCAAAAAATTATATGGATTAAATATGGATTGATGAAGGTATATACCAAATGTGTTCCCTTTCTTGCTTTCCTACTGCAGTTTTATTAGTTGCAAATTTTAGAGCTTAAGGGCTAACCTTTTTCTTCACATGTAGCAATTTTATTCCAAGCCAGTATGGCTAGTGGTGGGGAATGATGGTGATTCTACAATAACTGGAAATCCACAGGTCCTCCAGCCCATTTGTATTGGAATAAAATAAAAAAGTTAACTTGAAAAAAGTAGAAATATCCTTTGGCTTAAACTTGACGATCTATTTATTGTGATTCCCATTGCAGTTATTCTTAATATCAATGGTATTCTTATATAATAGCTTGACAGTAAAGACTGGATTGATTTTTTTTAAAATTGACTTCATCCAGGTGGATATACAGCATCGGTTAAAGCTGGTATTGGCCTCATTGTCATCCCTGTAATCATTGTAGTGCCTCTTTTATACTTCCTGTTCACATCAGGTGAGAATCTTCTCATTTACTTGATCGCTATATTTCTTTTTAGAGACTAAGTTAAATGTAATTTTGAAGGTGTAGGGGGAATGCAGAAGGGGGGAAAATCATAAAATTAGTAAAAATTCTATATTGGCACTGAATAACGGTATTCTCATTGAATTTTAGACAACATTTGGGGAGAAGAAGCAAAAGATTCAGAATTTTGAATTGGCACCAGAGTACCAAATTGTGACATTGCCAAGGGGATTTTTTTGTTTTCGTTGATATATCAAAATGTCACTTAGAGATTCCTTTGATGTATCAAAAGTATCACTTTTCTTGAAGTGAAGAGATGATCTTTTATTGTGACAAGAATTTGAGCTAAAAATACCCACTAGGGATATATGTACAAAACTTTACTTTGTTTATAAGTAGGTGCACACTAACTGATGGGCTGGTTTATGGGCTGTACTTGTTGTCAGGGTTGGCATTAGACTAAGGCCAAGTAGGCACTAGCTTAGAGCACCGAAGCTTAGAAGACACCACAATATGAATCATTCTAAATATGGAAATTTTCATCAGTAAAAGATGGAGCCATACAAAATTACCTGGGTGATCTTGGACAAATCACTTTTTTTCAGCTCTTAGAAGGAGGCAATAGGAAGCTACTTCTGAAAAACCTTTCCAAGAAAACTCACAGACTTGTCCAGGCAGTCTTTGACAATCTTGCACAATTGAACACAAGAAAAAATAATTGAGAATTTCACATAAAACAAGTTACTCTGGGATTATACCATTTATCCTTCCTGATATTGTTAGCTGCTTCATACCCCATATGCCAGATACATATTTGTACAAGTTTAAATTATTTTTTGGAAGATCCTGACTTGTTCTGTTTCTCATTTGTTTCTGAATATGTTCTTTTCTCAGTAACATTATTGTTCTTTCCCTAGTTTTTGAGAAGCAACCACTTTTTGCAGTTATTTTGCTAGCTCTGAAAGCACTTGGATATGTAATTGCTGTGGCTGGATTTGCTTTGTGCGTGACAGGTAAACTATGTACTTTATCAAAGTAATATGTGTTACAGCTTGGTTCTAAAGAAGTTATTTAACTTTTATACAGTGGCTGTCACAAACTAAAACAAAATTACAACAAAGCATAGCTATATGTCTATATCAAATTCAATACTTTTCAGATATTATCAACCCATATCAAATGTTTCTGGACTTCCAGGGTCCTAGTTAGCATGGGAAAGAATGCTGGCCCTTGCAGCTCAGCATCATCTTACATGGTCTTGAAAAGAAGGTAATAAACCAAAAGTCCAAAGTACTGCAAGCATCACTGCTGAAAAGAATGAATACCTTTGAATATTAGCTTAGCTGTAGCTTAATTTGGGCTTGCCTTTGTAATGCTGTCTGTTTTTTCCTTTCTTGCCCTTGCTTCCCCCCCCCCTTACCTTCTGTTTATTCATTTTATTCCCTCCTTTTGCTTTCCTTCCTATTTTCTTAACCCATTTCTCTGTGGTCCTTCCGTCACTCCTTTCCTCCCTTCCTTCTAGTTGCTATGTGCTATGGTTGTGCATGGCTTCAGTTTCAAGAGGGAAAAGGCACTTGGTACAGTGGCCTGCATGTAAGCATCTGTCGGCATCTCCTAAAGCCAAGCATGGATTTTCCCAGAGTGCTGCTGCTGCTGCTGCTGCAGCTGTTTAAAGCAGATACTCAACTCTGGTTAAAAGACATGGCTGCTTTAAGGAGCTGCCAAAGAGGAAAAAAATATTACCTTTCGTGATTTGTTTCTTTTGAACAAATATGGTATTTTATATCTTTTGCATTGCTTTCATGTTTCCCATCCTGAGCGTTTGTATGACAGGTGGGATACAAACATAACAAATAAAGCTATACATAAAGATACTGCATTAATATGGGGCTCCCATATCAGAACTGTAAAATTCCAAATAATAGATAAAACTCTCTTTGCTGCCATCTAGTGATTATTGCATTTTTTGAAGCCTAGATATGGAAGTCCTATATAATATGAACTGTGAAGCATTTTGATACAATTTAAATAGTATCATTTTTTGAGGTTACGGTTTTGTTCAGTATTGTGGACTACTGTATCCTGCTCTCTGATGAATCGGTGTTTGTGAGAACAGATATATTACCATGACAGACATTTGTCATGCATGTCAGGCTTCCTTCATGGCATATTTTTTGTAAGAGTTTGAGTTCCCTTAAAATTCCAGATATGCCTGTCAGGCCTCTGGGTTGTGGGTTCCTTCTTATATTTGGAAATGTTTAATTGTTATGTAACTATTTTAACTGATACAACCTTCTCTATACAGATTACGCAGATTCATGCACAAACTATTCTGTCATAAAAAAATAAATAAAATTCTGTTAGTCCAAACTTTTATATAGTAAAGCCATGAAAAAATCAAATCTAATTTATGTATATAATTTGATGATGTCCTTGCATGATCTCCTATCATGTCTGAAAAATGTAAGGTATATGAGCACTCAAACATCTATACAACATTGTTTAGAGCCCCCCTTTTCATAATCTTTCACTGCTAATCTAAATGCCCACCTCTTTTTCTCAACAGCATGTCAGCCAAAACATGGATCTGTTCTGATTGCAGGCTTAGCAATTATTGGTGCTGTAGGAGCAATTGGCTTAATTTACATTATTATTATTGGTAAGTAATTTCTGAAGAAAATGTTTACTCATTTATTTCATACAAAGACTGTTTGA